TTGTTGCAGTTTTCAAAAAAATATCTATTACTCAATTTTTACAGACAATGATGCAATATCAATAATTATAATAGGACATCAATTTTTCAGTATCTCGTGTGTTAGTTTCCTTGACAATCATCAGATCAACAAAGCAGCATTGCCTTATTAAACTTTAATAGGGTACTGTTCATGTTTGTCCCTATACATGGCTGCGCATGTGACTGTTCACACCTTAATTAACTCCCCGGATAGTTTTCTCCTCATCTCTGGCAACCATAATTGATGATCCAATTATCTCGGATGAGAACCGCATGTCGTTTTTCATGATCGTTTGTCACCGCAAATTTTTCTCAATAGCGCCTGCAGCTTTAATATCATACATATTGCTTTAAGTAGCGGGATATTTATCAACGAATTCCAAAGGCAGCAGTTATCGCTTCGGATGGTCTAGAACAGAAAATTAACAATAGTCAACACGTGATAGTTTTAGCCACTCCTTCTCGTCTTGTTCCGCTGACCTTCTTATAATTTTTTGTAGCTCTATATTTACAGACGGATCTAAGAGGCCAGGGCATTTATCAAATCCTCTGAAAGATGCTCGGTCTTTTTTTTTTTTGCGACGTTGCTGGTCTGATGTCTCGATCGGGGTAAAGAGTGGAGCATCTGAAAAAAACTAAAGGTCACTACTGGGGGCAGTGAAAGCTGCCCACGCAATAAGTATTTTATTTAGAATTTGGCAGGAAGTATGCTGAGAAATGCAAGACTACTCGGTTTTCGTACGATATGCTCGAACTAGGACCGAAACAGCCAAATTATAATGCTCTGAGTGGTCTTTCCCACTCACTAACCTTAATGCACTGGGCAACGAGCTTGAAATTTTTGGCTTGAGAGGCGCTGGTGCTGGGACTTGGTCGGTTGAATTACACCAATTTTGGCTATCGTTGAGAAACTCAACTAGCTCAGAGTAAACTTTCTTAACTCACTCGAACTTGCTTCACGTTTTTCTCCCCCTTCTGCACGTTGATCTCAACTTGGAATTCATCATCTCTTCCTGCTTCTGTTTCAAACTGTGTTCTGTCAATAGCCATCATGCCTCCGGGTCCTTCCTTCTTACTGAGATTGTAGGAAAGGACACTTTTTGTCATCTTCTATTATTGCCTTGGCATCTGTAGGCATGATGTCTAATGGCTCCACAATGTCTGAGAGACTGGCTCCGTTTGTTCGCTAATTTTGTGTCCTATTACATTTAATTTTTTAGCTTTCGCCAAGCTTTGTAGACATTTGTGCGATGTTTTAATGAACTTTTCGTGACGCTTTCCTGTAATTTTTACATAAAATCATTTGTTTCCGATTTGAAGAAAGGTGATATTTGCTGCTGCTCTGATGTCTGTAGGAACGCTTTGATATTGCGAATTTGCGTCGCCGATGGCGGGTTACAGCCGTCCTTTGCATCTCTTCTAACGAAGCTGCTATATTGTCTACTGAATGAAGTGTAATCCATACAATGCTGTTCCAAAATTTTAGCTTGGACATTACGAATTCCAGTACAATTACTGCAGTTCTTGAATGACCAACTAGAGAAATGTAGATGCCCCTCACGATTATCAACACGTCGCAGCTTGTAGAGCAAATCTCCACAAAAGAATTTTCACCCCCATTGATCGATCTGCTTTTAAGTATTGTAAATTTTTCACAAATTTCGGCATTATTATGCTACAGAAGTAGCCAGATACGATGATATCAATGTGCTCAACCTGGTTAACAACTTGGCTCGCCCAACAATATTTGCGACCCACTACCTCGAATATCGACGATGTTCTAGATTGTTCATCCAGTCTCTTCTTGGAAACTCGAGACACTCACTGAAGCATTGAACTCAGTCTATACCTTCGACCAACGATGAGGCATAGACAGACTCAGCCACACTGCATGGAGTCCGTTACGTCTCTTTGATGATCTAAGAACATGATGTCTCCAGTGGTGCGTTTTAGACCAACGAACGCTCGGGCCATGAGGTTTTGATACTCCAGTGCAATGTCGTGCATCAACTGCATGCACTTGACAACAATAATAATAATAATTGACCCATAATTGTGCGTTACCAAGTTCAAGCGCGTTTTAAATGTTTTCTCCTTCCATCTTGTACATCGATTGGGGTAAATTCAGTATATGTGTAATGGTATATTCTGTGTTTCAAAATCGTATTCTGATCTGCTGGATATGCAAATTTGTTAACCAATTTTCTATTCTAAATTGGCTTAAATAGAAAGCAACATGCAAAATACCTCCTCCTTAGCTATCGCGAAATTCTTATTCATAAATGTTAATAAATGTGATTTATTTGACGGCTTGATGAATTTAAAATTCTACCTAGTGTATTCTTATTTCTTACGTTTTTGCCTGATCACCTGTGAGCCTAAATCGTCTTATTAAATGACCCGAGCTTCAGTTTAAAGTTTTTTAATACGAAGCCCCGGACAAAGCGAATGTAATTTTCTTTTTCCCAGCCCTCTTAAGGGAATAAGAATTTTATAGAAATGCCAACTGAAACGAAATGCTGAAATATTAAAATTTGACACTTAGGGAAAATTTTAGATGAACTGCACGTTGATAACAATATCACAATTGAAATATCACGTTGATAGCCGTATCACTATGAAGCTTTCCCGAATAAGTTGTTTGGTAAATTTTGCTGGAATAAAACTTGACCTAACCTAGTGCCTCAGCAGTTTTGTCTTGCGTAATACACAATTTTTCCTTTAAATATTTGTTATGAATCGTATTCATCAAGTGTTTTAAAAGATTCATTACATTAAGTATCATTTCGTAAAATAACTGTACAGACTTTCAACATATTTTTCGTAATATTTTATTATATTGCGTGTCCTTCCATGTTAAAAAAGTTATGGTATTAACAATGTCAAGGTTTTCAGCGCTTTTTTTACCTGGATCTTGGATGTAACCTGGATTTGCGATGTGCATGGCACGCATGCCAGATGTCGGCGAAAACACGAGGCGTCCTCGGCACTAATTTCCCTGAATTCTTCTTAAATTTCTGAAAATTAGAAATAATTATGCCCGATAGTTGTTGCGGCTGGCCAATTTTCGCTGGCCGTGTGCTAGAAATGTTTTGAATATTTCGGAGAAATTATATTACTTTGACCTCAGAGAAAATTATTTCAATTTTTACCCAAAATATGTTCATTTTATTGTCTGGAACCAACACTGTTTTCCTTGTTGTTTTTTCGGTTATGTGACCACGGCTGCGTACGTCCGAACGTCGACTCGTCAGAAGGAAGTGCTGTAGCATTCATAAGTCAACGTCACTTGCGTCAGCTTGGTTGGTTTATTTCAGATTCATTGTCAGTGGTTTTTACCAATGGAGCTGACGATTCAAGTGTACGAGTGCGAATTTTGATTTGAAATTGAAGAGAAGATGTGACTCATTATATAAAGCGTTGCATATTCATCTCATTCACGATAGCTCACCAAACCTCTTATTTTTCAGCAACGATTAGTTCATTTTTCAGTTGTATTCGTCCAATTATTAATGGATTTTCAATTATGTATCGAAGCCATTCATGGTCAAAACGCAACACAAATAACGAACGAAAACTTTGGCTTTGATCTGGTGAAAATGTGCCTCTCAATTTCATAAAGTCGGTTTTCATTGTGGAATAATTCATTGAAGATCTGTTGATGCGTGTTATTGTATAAAAATTAACGTAGCGTTACAAATTTCTCCAACTAAAATTATATCCAAACATCATGCGTCTCTATAGATGAATAGAAGGCCCCATTACATGCAACACGTTTTGTTTCGGGTTGGAGCCGTTATTTCATTATTTCAGAGCCCCGTTGCTGCTATATTGTTCTCCTTTGATGCCATATCAGCTCAAGAGGTAATGTATGCAATTTACTATGTTATTCTCACGAAACGGCAAACTTGATCCTCGATGCAATAAGATTGTGGGCTGCCGTACAATCTCGAAGTTCGACAAATGCTTCGACATTTGTCGGAGTGCCTTGGGGAGCAACCTTGTTCAATATTGTCTGGGAAAAACTTGACTGCAAAGACAGCGTATTATAAATATTCAAGCTCGGATATTTTATTATTCTGTCTCGCAATTTGGTTTTATTGCACGTCATTCCTCATCGGTATTTTGCTAGCGTCATCAAATTCCCTTTGCAGTTAAATCATTATCCTTAGATTCTCAAAAAATGCACCCAAGTTATGAACTGAAGCTATAATTATACGATGTTAAATGACTATGTGTTATTGCGGTCGATCGTGCTTCTGACGTTTTAAATGCTTTCGTGTAAGATGTCGACTTTTCATATTAGAAAAAATTTCGGTTAGCCTTTGGTACAGTGTAACTCCGACTCTCGAACGTCCTGCCTCACGATCAATTAAGTCGCCTCACGAACCGTCAGACCTAAGAAGAAACGTTCCACCATACGACCGTGCTTTCTTGTGCGACCCCGGGCAAAGCAGAAAAGCATTGGGTCGGCATAAAAAGTATCTATTTCTATCGAAAATAAATTGTCAGCATCGAGAAATATGCGGCCGGCTTGCGGGTTCTTGACTTGGCCAAAGAGTACGGCTAAAATAAAAGTACGATCTCACTCTCTTCACCTAGAAACGGTTCGCTTTCACGCCATTTCCAGTACAATAAATACGTTGAGAAGGTATCATTATGACAGGTGCGGCACGGTTTGGATTTCTTTCCATGATTTTAAATGGAAAATATGTTTTATGAACTAATCTTCATACGAACAGAGCGGGGAATCAATCAATCAATCAATCGTGAAGCGGGGTTACACTGTATTTTTTTCCTTGTGAATATCTTTTTGACTAATCCATTTGCTTATCTAACAAAATTTCTTCCCCAGAATAATTATAATACTCAAGGAATAACACCTAGTGAGCATGTTGTGGTTGTATAATGTCTCGAAATTATATTTAAGCATTTTTATTGCCGTTTATGTATAAAACTGTTGAATAAAAATTCTTGCAGAATCGTACGAAGAACACGAGCTGGTGTTCGAGTGGAGGAAAACTTTGGGAAGCAACTACGGCAAGCATTTGGAGAAGAAGAAGAAACTGAGCTCCTTGAACGCCTACATCATTTCCAATGAGACGCGGGTGTGCGAGACCACTTTCACGTGGAGAGGTGAGCTGTAACCTTAAGTTTTCCTTCAGGGATTTTTCCAAGCAGCTGTGCTGGGAGCGAGATTAAGTCAAACCCTTGCGTTTGCGAAGAGAGAAATTTGCTTTTCCTAAAGCTATGGCGGGAAAGATTGTTCTCCATATGCGGCGGCGGCAGAGGAAGATTGCTTTTCCTTTAGCGGTGGCGGGAGAGAAAGATTGTTTCTCCATCAACGGAAGCGGGAGAGAACTATGGTTTTTCCTTTAGCACAGGCGGGAAAGAAAGATTGTTTTTCCTTTAGCGGTTGTAGTAGAGAAAGACTGTTTTTTCTTTAGCGGTTGCAGTAGAGAAAGATTGTTTTTTCTTTAAGCGGTGTCGGGCGAGAACGATTATTTTTCCTCCAGCGGTCTCGGGAGAGAATGATTTTTTCCATAAGCGGTTGCGTGAAAGGAAAATTGTTCTTCCATATGCGGTTCCATGACTGAAAGATTGTTTTTCCTTAAGCGGTTGCGCGAGAGAAAGATTGTTTTTCCATAAGCAATTGCTTGTGAGAACGATTGTTTTCCACTAGCGGTGATGGGAGAGAAAGATGTTTTTCCATAAATGGTTGCGTAAGAGAAAGATTTCTACTACAAGGAGTGGCACGCCTATAGGAAGACGAGCTGCTGTAGCGAGTTCTAAATAAGCTCTTACGTGCAAGATGAGCTGAGACTGTGAGCTTTATGTGATGGATTACCTTAGCGATGAGATGCAATTTCAAGCTTTACAAGACCGATTGCGTCGGGACACGAGGCTTAGTTTTTTTTATCCGAGTGATGAAACGGATGCAGGTGTTAACAAAGTTAATGATTTAATTTTAAATACTGTTTTTTTTTTCTCTGGAAGTGAAACCTTAATTCACCATTTTGAAGCATTTCTGAGCAAAATGTGATTTTGAATTCTACTTGAATTATGATCGCGAACTTTTATGAGTGGTGCTTGTTCATTAGGTGGTAAACCCTGAAGTAATTTTGAACTTTATTTTAGCTCAACTTCAACTTGCTTCCCCACTTCGCTATTTTTAAATATGATATAAATTAAATTTTAGAGAAATTCTTTCGGCGACCGAAAATGTTGTAGAAATGTGTGTGCTTCAATTCTCTCTTAAGGAGCTACTTCATAGAGAAAAGAGCTTAAATAAGGAATGTATTGCGCTCACTTTCAAGCCAAACAATGCATGCTCCTTTCACTGGTAGTTTGTTGTGGGTAGTTAGGTTGTGGGTAAGACTAATCCTATTCTCGGTGTATGACGGTAGACGCAGTCTATCGATTTATCGCATGTGTTGAAGGGCTAACGCGGCATTAATAATTCAAACACTGAAGACATAACAGCGAACTGATAAGATCCATCATTTACGATGAATAAATTATTCAGGGTACTCTAAAAATAGCCTGATAGATTTTTCACAATTTCGTTTTGTCTTGACTCTTGCTGGTTTACAGGGCGTTGTATATAGGAATTAATTTCATGTAGTGCAGTGGTGGTCAACTTGTGTTACGCGAGGCTATTTTGGGAGGTACGCGAAAACTCTCGAGGGCATGAACAGTTTTTTATTATTTTTTCTACCCGCAAATGTATACTATACTGTAAACATGATAATCAGACAACGATTTGCGACTATTGCCCCATATCATCCTACTTGTCCCAGCAGCTTAATGATAAAAAAAAATGCTGCCGGACTTTGTGCGCTAATTATGAGAGCATAAAGTAAGATCATATGTTATTTATACTACGTATTATAGCTGCTAAAATTTAGAGGAAGTAGTCTTAGATAGCCGTACGCGACGACTGTACGAAACCTCCGAATTGTACGAACATATTCTCTTCACCATACCGTTGAGGTGCAGCGTCCGAATCTCGAAAAAATTTATTTTTGCTTAACTGAAAATTAAATTTTATTTATTAGGAAAAAATTTAATTGGCTATTGCATTCCGCAATAAAAATTGCAAATTTTAACGTTATATATCAATCGTGTATTAACTCTTGGTAATGAATACAATAGCACAGTTTTTCCCCATCTTTTTTTCCAAAATAACATTCAAATAAAGTCAACTGATAACGATTAGGTACTCGTTTCACTGATGTTTCAAGCACTTATTCACTTTATTTCACAGCTGTCTTGCCTGTAGCAGTCCTTCTCGGCGACTCGTTTTTATTGTCTAGTTAAATGCTTGTTGACTATAAAAAAAAGCTAAATAAAATTTAACCCGCCCAGTTTACCGTGTGCCATGGCACCGTGGGCGTGTCTGGCCGTTGCCGTGCAGGAATGATCGCTCAGAACTGGCTTGATCTTGTTCACGCCAGACTCGCGAGAGCCGAAATAATGCGACAAAAGCACCTCACGAGTGGCCCTCGCTCTAGCGCGCTACCCCAACAATCCATACTCGCTTGTCATAGTTAGGGAGGCGAGACTGAGGGAAGGATTCTGCGTCATACTTGAGAGGGAAAAGAGAGACTTGGGTGAAGGATTCTGCGTCATACTTGCGAGGGTAAAGAGAGACTTGGGTGAAGGATTCTGCGTCATACTTGAATGGGAAAGGAGAGAGACTTGAGGGAAGGATTCTGCGTCATACTTGAGAGGGTAAAGAGAGACTTGAGGGAAGGATTCTGCGTCATACTTGAAAGGGAAAGGAGAGACTTGAGTGAAGGATTCTGCGTCATACTTGAGAGGGAAAGGAGAGACTTGAGTGAAGGATTCTGCGTCGTACATGCGAGGGAAAAGAGAGACTCCAGTGAAGGATTCTGCGTCATACTTGAAAGAGAAAGGAGAGAATTGAGTGAAGGATTCATCGTCATACTTAAGACGGAAATGAGAGACTCCAGTGAAGGATTCTACGTCATGCTCGAGAGGAAAAGGAGAGACTTGACTGAAAGATTCTGCGTCACTCTTGCGTGCAAAAGGAGAGACTCCGGTGAAAGACTTGAAGCTTCTGAAGATGGCCTTCATTGCAGGTCCATGCAGTCGCATTGCTAAAGCAAAGATGAATGACGAACGATGAATTTTGAGACTGCCAGACTGTTGAGCGCGTACTACCAGTATAATTTCAATTCAATAGTATAATTTGGGTCGTTTTTATCTGCTGCGAGGCTAATGGACTTATAAAAGCTCCTGTGGTCATAAAAAATGAGGATTAGATGTGGTGAAGATCTAAGAATCATGTGGTAAATCCATGAGTCATAAATAAATCGAGATAAATTCTCGTGCAAAAATTCAATCGGTAAGCTTCGCACGGATAATTAATTTGACCAATGTTTTCGGTTATTTCCCAAAGTTTCATTTTTTAGGACTCGTTTTCCAATTTGTGAATTTCGCCAACTATATGTCGCATATTCACACAAGTCTTCATGATTTTTCTCTCGGTCGTTAGAATTTTTCCCTAAGAAGTTGTATTGCTAGGTGAACGAAATTTTTTTTAATTTACTTACGTATTTTTAATTTTCATCTGTTTGTTTAGCATATTTTTTGACCACTAATTTGTGCAAATGATAATTTTTTTAAAGGAGAGCGAAACAATGTGATTTCGTTGTAATTGCTTCTTTTTCGCTCGCCTAATAAATCAAAATCTTTAGCCATGGTCCCAGCTTCTCGTCAGAAATTAGATTGACGAACACAATGTAATTTTGATGCCCTTAGACACCACTACAAAAAATTTGAATTTTCTGCTGAAGTTGCTTAAATTGTATTCGTGCAAATAGGAATTAATGTAAACGAAGCTTATGCTGGGTGAACATGAATGATGCACCAATTAACCAATTGTTTAGTAGTCTAATGCTCCAAAGTTTTGGACCCAATGCCCTGATTTTTTTTTCTTCTTGCTTGTCTAGCGCGCGAAAAAAATGAAGGAAAAAAAACAGGAACCGCTGGACAGACCAATTGCGAACCAGATTTCATGAAAATTTACAGGATTTATCTAACGCTGTTGAATGGCAGGAGGGGAGAGTTCTGTTTGTTTGATCGAACTGATTGATCAGATTCCGTAAATCTAAAATGTGCCATTTGCTGTGCGATTTAGTGGGGCAAAATCTGTTCAAGCTCAATCATTAACCAATATAATTGGTCCTCTTCCGTACGCGATTCTCTCTTTGAACATGAATGTATGGAGGCGATGCACCACCTACATCATGGTTGTAGTCAAATATATTTCTTTTCACTGACTCAACTATAGAAATACTTTCAGACCATAGAAATACTTTCAAAAAGTTTGAAATTTTAACCGCATTTAATTAAGCCTTCAAATTTGCTTTACTTTTCTCACGTTCAACTTCTATCGTCTTTTTCATTAACTTGTTTGTATTTTTTACTTGAAATATTTTATTCTGTAATCGCATCAGTATTTTTGGATATAACTTGAAATATCAACGCTGTGGATATACACATGCGGAAATGGCTATACGATCACCCATTTTTTTCTAAATATTTTTTCTTGCAGAAAGAAGTACGGGATTCTAATAAAACGTGGTCAACCTACGTTGAAAAACTGTTCCAACGCTATACGAACAAATTTTTTAAATGTGGGAAGAAATGATGAAATTAAAAAAAAACCTAGGTGGAAACGGTTATAAGGCCAAGATATGTTTTTCTCCATTTTAGTATTTTTATGCAATATTTTCACGTTAAAAAGTACAGCACCATAAAGAATATCCCGATTTCCGCCATGTAGGGTACTTTTGGTGTACTTCTGGTGTAGTTCGGTGTGCTCATTTCTATTTTTTCTAAGTAAAAGTGATGCCAAAGGGGACAAGCCTCACAGAGGCAGAGAAGGCGCAGATTTTGGCCATTGCGAAATGCGGTAGAATCCAACATGATATAGAAAAGGAAATAAAACGCTCAAAAATAGTTGTACAATAATTTCTTGCTAATCCGGACGGCTACGGACCAAAAAAGCACCCTGGACCAACCCCAAAATTAACCGACTGGGATCTTAGGCCGTTAGGCGACTGTTTTCAGAGGCTTCTAAAGCTGGCGCTACCTCTACTTATATA